CGCCGGCTGGGGGGGCAGTGATACGGGTGAGCTCCGTTGGCTATGAGGTGTTCCTGCTGCTCCTACAGTTTCTCTACAGCGGCCAAGTTTCGATCCAGTTGCAGAAGCATGAGCCTCGCCCCAACTGCGGCGATCATGGTTGCTGGCACACACACTGCACCGCGGCTGTCGACCTAGCCCTCGACACCCTCGCCGCCGCTCGCTCCTTTGGAATCGACCAACTTGCCTTCCTCACCCAGGTTCAACTGATTTCCTTCTCTTAGGGTTTTCATACTCCATCCCCATATCACATGCCAACAATGAAATTTTAAAAATAAAACAATAAATAAATAAATAAATCTAGAGTTGAACCAATTTTAATATAAAATTTCAATTAGTAGCTTAAAAGTCCAGTAATGATTGATAGTTATGATTATGAACTAATATTCAATTCAGCCATTTCAGGGTACCCATTTTATTTGATTAAAATTATAATATATATTTTAAGGATAAATTAAATTTATAAAAATCACTCATCTTTCTATATTTTGCTGTAATCAGAAATGGATCTTAACTTTATGCTCTAATAGTGTCTTTATAAAATTTGAATGTTATGATTTCTTTTTAGACATGAAATAAGTGGAAAATGATGGTCTTTTCTTTATTTGGGAAATTAAATGAGCCCTATATTAAGCCATTTCCTTATTTCTTTTATCTTTTAAGAAGGAGCACAACACAAGAGTTGCCATTACAGCTGAAGCTTAAGCGATTTTGTGTTGTGATGCTTTATTAAGACTTAGCTAGGAACTCCATGATAGCTTTTGTTTCTTTCTTTCTTCTTTTTAGGAAATCAATGGATATGTTCTTCCCAGCAACGTCCAATTCTATTCTTTTCTGTAGCAACAGTAAGCTTGTTTCCATGATAGCTTTTGTTTCTTTCTTTCTTCTTTTTAGAAAATCAATGGACATGTTCTTCCCAGCAACGTCTAATTCTATTTTTTGCTGTAGCAACAGTAAGCTTGTCGGAGTAGGTGTGGAGTAATAATTTTGAGGTCCAGTTACAGTTTTTAGTTTAGTTCAAAAATTACGGTTAAGCGCTCTTTACCTTATGATCATCTTCCAGTTCATAAGCAATGTTCTTGCAAGGGCATGTCTTAGCTCACTGGTATTCAAAACAAGATGATTTTTAAATTATACTGTTAGTTTATAAATTGTTATTTCTTTTAATGATACTTACTATTATCAATAATAATAAGTTAAGAATTTTATCAATTAATTGAGTTTAAAAAATATGGAATATGTAGAGTTTATTTTGATAATTTAAATCCTAATTATTTGAAGTAAATCAAATTATCATAATATATGAGGGAAACTTCTTCTTTCATTTGTTTCTTAGCAAAAATTTATTTAGGATTGATCAAAGTACCTTTATTAAATTATAATTAAACTATAAAATAGTTTCTTATGCTTTTTGATATATAATATCCAAATTGCGGTATGTTCTTATAAAAAATTAGATATTAAGTGCATGTAAAAAAGTTTCATTTTTTAATATCAAAAACTCTTATTGTAATTTAGAGAGCATTATCAACAATGCTGCGCCATCTGAATTTTCATGACTTGACTCCAATATCCTGCAAAATTAAATCAGCATATTGAAATATATGGCGTTTGGCAGAAGCAACTTGAAATCATGGTGGAGAAATCCTCTATTGAAGACGTGATGAAAGTCTTAATGGCTGCCCGCAAACAAGAAATGCACCAACTCTGGTCCACCTGCTCCCATCTCGTCGCCAATTCCGGCCTACCACCCGAAAGCCTTGCCAAACACCTCCCACTCGACATCGTTGCCAAGCTCGAAGATCTCCGGCGCCTACCCTTTTCCTCCTCCCACATTCCCTCAACTTGCCCCGACCACCATCACCACAAAATCTACCGCATGCGCCGCGCCCTCCACTCCTCTGACGTCGAACTCGTCAAACTCATGGTCATGGGAGAAGGCCTAAACCTCGACGACGCCCTCGCTCTCCACTACGCCGTCGAGCACTGCAACCGTGAGGTCGTCAAAGCTCTCCTCGAACTGGGAACTGCCGACGTTAACTTCCCCGCAGGACCAAACGGACGAACTCCCCTCCACATCGCCGCCCGGCTTGTCAGCCCCGACATGGTCGCCGTTCTTCTCGACCACCACGCCGATCCCAACGCCCGGACGCTCGACGGCGTGACCCCGCTCGATATCCTCCGATCCCTGACGTCTGATTTTCTTTTCAAAGGTGCTCTACCGGGCATCGACATTGCGCATTTCGAGCCCAACAAGCTCAGGCTATGCCTCGAGCTCGTGCAATCCGCCGTCATCGTTGCGTCGAGAGAGGAAGCAGCCTCCGTGTATTTGAATTTAGGCGTGGCGGCGACTGTACCGGCAGAGATGGGATATAAGGTAGATCATAGTGGTGATCAATTAGATGGACGGAGTAGGAGGTCCACGACCATTCAAGGTGGAGGTGGTATTACTCGACCTACTTCTTGTTTCCCTTCTTCTATTATTTATTCTCCTCATCATGAATTCCCATGATTTACAAGGTTTCTTTATTATTAATAATTTTGTTTCATTTTAGATATATGTGGAATTTGACTAATAATCATGAATCGGTGCTAGGAGGCAGATTTATTAAGCAAAGTTGTTGAGGTAATAGCTAGCTACTCTATATGTGTATATATTTCTAGAGCACGACTCTCGCTCTCTTTCTCTCTTTCTCTCTCTGTCAATTTGCATATCATTCTCGCGATAGATAGATAGATGTATGTCACTCCACATCGGCTAGGTGAAGGGCCGAAAAGCAGCATTTAAGTCCTGGGCTGCCCACCACCCATAAGGGCTCTTTTGGGAGGTGACAAGTGGTATCAGAGCAGACTACTGCCTGTCAGGTGTGTGGACTCTCCATGGTTCAGTGGGACCCTCGGTGGAGCAGATCCGTGACGAGGGCGTCATGTGATTGGGTGGAGGAGAATGTCACGGACAAATAGTCCCACATCGGCTAGGTGTAGGGCCGAAAAGCAACATTTAAGTCCTGGGCTGCCCACCACTCATAAGGACTCTTTTGGGAGATGACATGCAGTTACCATTGTGAAGGTGGCTATAGCTTCTATCATTTGCATTCAACAATATTGCGATTTATGGGCAGGTAGGCTCCCCGCTGCAACAATCTTTTTGAAAAAGAAAAAATTCCTTACTTTCAATCAGTCGGCTTTAACATATTTTTTAATCAAGTCAAATGTGACTGAAATAGGTTGGACTGAATAGCATTCCTGAGTTGAATAGTACTAAGCCGGGCGGCCCCATTCACATATTATGTAATAATGTGAAACGTGAAGATCGATATGATTGGTTTTTTCTTATGCTAAATTCCAGCCGGCAACAAAATATCTGGTCTTTCATGAATGCAACACTGTTTACCGCATGGCGATTGCTCGTACGGGCATGTCCACGCGTCTACGCGCAAAAAAACACACATGCACATAATATATAATTATAATATATATATATATATATATATACATTAAGTTTCTAAGTAATTTATTTGGTTTGCTTCACAGGATATCTAAAATGGTTACAACCCTTGAAGCTTAAAGAAAGCTACCAAGGTGCCTTAAGAGAAGAACTCAAGATGTGCGGGCATGTCCACGCGTCTACGTGCAAAAAAACACACACGCACATAATATATAATTATAATATATATGTATATATATATATATAGTTCATTTATAAAAAACATAAAATTTAATTTTTCATTTAATTAAGTATTTACACAAATAACATATTATTTATTTGTATTTATATAACAAAGTTTTTTATATTTATAGCATTCACATCACATCTAAACTATCATTATTTAAATTATTTAGAAGGGAAATACATCCCTTAGATATTATATTTGTAAATACATAAAAACTGAATAATATGTATGTACATTTTTCCTTAATTTTCTTAAATAACCCTAAAATTCGGAGAGATGTGCCTGATTTTATCATATCTTTGACCAATGATGAAATCATCATTAATTTGATGAAATTGGATTCATAACTAATTATCATATGATACGAAACACTAGTAATGGAGTATTCCTAAATTGTTATAAAAAGTCGGTCATTTTCTGAGAACTGTTAGCACAAATCAATCCGTGGGCTTTTTTTAATTAAAATTTATGATTATGAATTTATTTACTCCATGTACCGTTGTTCACATTAGCACATGCCATTGTCTTCTACCTCTATTTTCTGTTGAATGCTTGTTGTATGGAGAGAGATTTTATAAACTCAGCAATGCAGACCCTGCATGCGCACGAACAAATAAACACACACATATATATATTATGAAAAATAACATGCAATCAAGCTTTCTTGAACCAATACTATTATACCGATTGAAGGCTACTAAAATCCACCAATACTATTATATAATCCCACATCCTCAATAGAGATCAATAATAATTTGTGCCTCAACACATTGGATGAGGTCAGCAGATCAACAATCGTCTCCCTCACCAAAGATAGAGTAGAAATGACCAGAGTTTAGTCCCCCTCAAGAGCACACCTCTTAGTAATTCTGGATCTACTTTTGGGAATTGATGAGATTAATAGAGAATCTCACAAAAATAATACTTTACTGGCTTTCTATCACATTGCCAAATCCCGGAGAGGTGAGAGCAGCCTTTGACGATCCTTCAATTTGTAATAAATTGCTCCATAAACACCTCAGTAAGCTCATTGGACGTATGAATGCTCCCTTCTAGGAGTGAGTAAAACAAGGTGCATGCTTGGACATTATAGGGAAACCTGACACTGGTGAATATTAGAAGCTCATTATATGTACATGATGGTGGCAAAGTGATCAATAAGTTCATATGGGTCAGATGTCCCTTCATAAGCATTAATGCTCAGAAGTTTTAATCCTGTTACAAAGATGATTTTTGAGAATCACGTCAAGCTGAGATATGACTTCTATCCTATAAGGGAAATTCTTCTCAATATAAATATCTTAACTTCTCCTATAAGGGAAATTCTTCTCAATATAAATATCTTCTTCTCAATATAAATATCATAACTTCTCACAAATCGCGTGAGGTCGAGCTGCATTCTCCATGCATGTTGGGAACTTAGTGTTAGGCTTGACTATAGGTGCGTGGATGTGTATAGCTAGCGGTGTTTATGAGTTCAACTTCCTTAGGAGGTTTTTTTTTTTTTTTTTTTTTTTTATTCCCGAGAATATAGTTGTGTAAAAATTATAAAGTTTTTGATTAAGAAATTTAAGCAATTAATATTAGGATTCTACGCAAGTATACTTATCGTTATCAAGTAATAAAGTAATAAAGATTTAAGCCCTAAATATCAATCACACGGTGAAGGTTTAAATTTAAAATGATAAATTTACTAGAAAAAATTTAAAATGATAAATTTAAATTTAAAATGATAAATTTACTAGAAAATTCATAAAAAGTAAAACAAAATTACTGTCACTAAGTTTGAATGCTGAGGAATGATTAATACTAAATTTATTAAAACTAAATTTTTTAACTATTAGAAAAACTGAAATGCAAAGTTTAAACAATAACTACTAAAATATTAAATTATGTTTATGTGATGAAGATTTCTTATGTAAAAAGCATTTTTTTCACTACAATGAGGTTTTGGTGAAATGAGATGAGATTGAAATGAGATGAGATAAATGGGATGAGATAAATGGTTTAAAATGTATTGTGTCAAATATGAGCAGTTTTAATTCTCTACCCTGATATAGTGTTATAGAAAAAACTTAGCTAATCTCATGTTAGTCCCTAACTCCTTGGCTAGGCTAGGAGGATACTGGCTCCCACTCCAAAGCTCCCACTTTCCTTCACCTGAAGGCTAACTCTCGCTTTATTTTTTAAACACTAAGACCGAATTGAGGATTGTAGTCTGTCAGCCTAAAGATTCTCCAATTCTACACCCAATAAAGTATATTTCCCTATTTATTTGCACTTAATTCCATGAATGAAATTCTCCTTCATGGAATCAAATGTGATCCTCACTCTGTTGTAGAATTCATACTCAATTTCCTATGTCATATGTTTCACAACTCATTTTAACAATTGAATTAGTCAGATCAAAAAGTGAATTAAGTTCGGGGTTGAAAAATCATCACAATTTATTTTATATTTTAATATTGACACATTCATATTATCTCATCATTTCACCATATCTCAGAGTAAGGAGAAAGATAAACAAAACTACTCAGATTTCATGAGAAAGATACAACAAAACACAAATTTCATATATAACAGAAAGTTCATATAAATACTAATAAACAAACAACACTTATCTGAAACTCTTTCTCAAAGAAAATCTCTTGTAGTCTCTACTAGGAAATGTAGGAAGAAAAAATCTCTCACTTTTCTCCTTCTTCAACACTTTTAGAGAAGAGTTCACACTAAATCTTACCACAAAAAGTCTAAACTCTTAAAGAAAACTCACTAATTGACTCCAAAATGGTGGTAGACTCCAAAATGGTGGTAGAAATGGTGCTAAAGGAATGAAGTGGAACGAAGAGAAACCAAGAGAGAGTCTAAAGGAATGAAGTGGAA